TGAACCATGGGAATCTACCCCCAAAGCCAAGAGCACACTGTACAAACTGTATGTTAGCCAATTTGACAATAAATTATATTAAAACTTAAAAAATAAAATACAGTAAAAACCATTAAATTTTATTTTAAATTATTATTATTATATTTTATTTTAAATTAATGTTTAACTAATAAACATTAATTTTTTTTTTTTTTAAAAAGCATATCCCTAAGAACCCCCCACCTGTCATTCCATCACGTTAACCGATTCCAGGTGCTACATAAGAAGAAGGGCGCTTGGGAGACAGGATAATCAAGGGAGAAAAAAATCTCGAATCTTGACCTCACCTTGTGCTCAGCAGATGTCCCGTGGACATAGCGGTGAGCTCCCAGGCCTTGCAAGATGCCCAAGCCTCCTTTTGCCATGTTTACCCGGGAACTGTCCTCTGTGGTGGGGACCAGACTCCCTGCAACCATGGTAAGGCCTGAAGTGTTGATTGTCAGCGTTCGTTCAACAGATCTGAAATAGTTCAGAATTCCTAAACAGACGCGCTGAAACAAAGAAAGACTAGGTTAGGCCCCTGCCCTTTGCTGGCCCCACACAACAGAGTAAAACTGAATGGGGTTGCCAGGTCAACCCTACTGCTGAGAAACACACCACCCCCAGAATGGCCTGATTTTGTGGAAAAATATCCAAACAAAGAACAGGTGTAAGGATGCATTGCTACTGGAAAAGCAGGAAAGCCGCCTTGGGAGACAACCCAACATTTCAGACACCTGAAGCCAGCATGCCATGCCATCCACATACCTGCAGCTCCCTGATTCGCAGGTGGCGCAGATATAGAAAGGACAAGTGGGTCCCCCTCGTCAGGACAGGATCCCTATCGCTGGGCCCAGTCCCATCGTCCAAGCCGAGCAGTTGTAGGGCCATTGCATAGCTGTATCTTTAGCAGGCGGGAAAAACAGAATAAATGCTTTCCACCTCAAAGTGGTTCGGAAAATTCATCTACACCAAATTGAAGTCACTTTATTTAACTTAAGGGAGTTTCACAGTAGCTACTCTTTAAAAATGAACTAGAAGAAAAATAATTACTATGTATAAATATAAAAAGAAATTTCTCTTAGCAATTACTCTTGTTAAAAACCCAGTCCTACCTAGGGTGAAACATTAATTTAGTTGTCTGACCTGTTTTAACAGTCTTGCTTTTATTTCAGCTTTAAATATTTTTGAGTTAACATGTAACCTACTTATTATTCAGTCACTCAATTTCCTCCACAGTGTTTAATCCATTTCCTTGAGTCCCTAGTAAAATGATTTAATTTTACCCTTTCTCTTTTTTCTGCTTGACAGGCTTATCAGCATGTTGGCAGAGACTTATTTGTGCTGGGTCATTTGCATTTTGTTCCATCGCAAGGTCATCTTCCTTCATATTTTCATTCTATCAAAAAAGTAGTATCAGTTGAATGACATCAACATTTGCAATATTATTAACAAAAATCAGAGCTGGGTCACCACAAAATTAAATCCTATGATCCAAGGCATATTTAGATGAGCAAACAGAAGAGCATCTTGGTCCATTGCAACATGACATATGAAAATGTGGATTTCCAAAATAAATTGGAAGGCACCGTTTTTATTATTATTTAGTCTCTGTTTTATAAAACTCTTCACAGCTTTTAAAAATTGCCACCCCACACACACCTTTTACATGATTCACTTATGAAAAGTTGATACACACATTTGTAGATGCTTGAAACCATGAACGTCTCTAATCTAGTCTTGTTCCAGGCTGAGAGAGATCAGTGGGTTAAACACCTCTTTCTACTTTTGACCTATATGATTTAATTGTTTAAAGTCTTGATCCTGTTTTCACACTTGTAAAATGGCATAATGATACAAAATAAGCTGCTGTGAGAATTAACACTTAGTGACTAGCACCTCATAGGTGCTCAATTACATGCTGGCCATGGATTGCAATAGTCAGTTAGCCCTGTAGGATCTATCACAGAACTCATGGTTTATACTTAAAAAATCCACAGGCATTTTTCCTGATGTCAAGCAGGATGAGATCACACACAAAGGGCCCTAGGAAAAATTGTGAAGAAGGTGGTATTGATGAATGATCCTGTCCTTGGCCCTCTGAGCAGCCCCTTTCTTAGCTGTCCTTTCTGCCTGCCCCTGGGCATAAATGCCATTCTCATAAGACACTCTTTTTTCGTAGCGGTGCTGATACCCACAAAAATTCTGAGTGGCAATGAGTTAATTTGGAACCCCACTCTTTGGGTTACTTATATTCTAATAGTTCTTGGAATTCCAATAAGGCCCTATGGCAGAGACTGCTGGTTGTTCCCCCATATCCGCTTTCCTCTTTTTCTATAGTAATTGAATATTTATCTTGACACATAGCCACCCAGATGGAGATGACGTTTCCAAGCCTCTTTTGCAGCTAGGTGTGGCTATGTGACTAAGTTCTGGCCAATGGAATGAGAGTGAAAATGTCAGGTGGCAGCTTCTGGGAATTTCCTTGAAGTGGCAGCTTCCTCACCCCCAGTGTCCATCCTGCCACTTATATATGAATGTGACAGCTGGAGCTCCATCTCAGACCAGGTGTTGATCTTAGATATGGAGGCCACGTTTGTTGGAACTCCAGGACAGAAGGAGCATGGGTCCCTAAGAACTCCATGGGAGCAATCATCACACTGTCTCTGTACTTCCTACCCCTGGATGTTAATATGAGGGAGAGAAAGAAATTCCCATCTCCTTTCACCCTCTCTTATTTTGTGTTTAACTATGACCAACAGCCAAATATAATTTTAACTAATACAGTACTTAATATTCTAAAGATACACAATTGGTCTTTATGACGGGCAGTGGAGGAGAAAATTTGGAGCAGGGATACTAGGAAGAGCTGGTGAGAAAGAAAATGGTCTAATTGAGTATTGTTAAGTAGCTTCCCATTCTGCCTGTGGATAGTTAACTCCTGCCTGTTTTGGGTAAGTATGCACATCAGTGTATTTCTGTGTAAACATCCCACAACCCTGGGAATGGAAAAGGCTTTAGGAAGCGACATGGTGTACTCGCGTTCCTGAATACAGAAACACAAGATCATTACCCCAAATTAAGAGAATCTGTTATTTTAAGAAAATCTGTAGGGAAGAGTGTACTCTATGAGGAAAGCTGAACTTTGACAGTTTCTATTTGGCCCAGAATTTTGGGTAAGAGGGGCTCTACTGAAGACTTTTGCCCCCCAGCCTTATGGTGCTCTTATGTTGCAGTTCAGCATTGCTGGGCGTAGGTCCAGAGGGCAGGCTCAGAACCACAGCCTTTCTCTGATGGGACTGTGACTTTTTCAGCTGCTTCTAAAATTACCCAGAATTACATAGGAAGGAACAGAAAGTGACATCGAGTTACAGTGAAAGACACTTTGAAGGAATGACTGAACAAGCCACAAAAATACCCAGCAGACTGCCAGGAAGAGAGGAAGGGGGCACAACAGGGTAGGGTGAGTAACGGGAGAGAGCCCAGCACCCACCGGAAAAACAGAGCAACCACAGCCACAGAAGTAAACTGCTTAGGAAATACCAAAGGTGCATGAGTGTATCTCCCTAAGAAGGCTGGACACTGAGCAGGTAAGCAGCAGGGCTGACCGGAAAACAGAATGTCAACACCACCTGCGTTTGTACTTTCTTCCGAGGCAGGTAAACCCTTTGACATTTACTCTCCCTGGTGGCTGGGTCTTTGCCAGCATAGCTGAGTTCGTGTATTTGGACAGTTCTGAGACTTCTACTGATTGCAAATCTCATTTTATTCTGGGAAATTGGCAGGGGCAATGGAGTGGGAGTGGAGGGGGAAAGAATTAGAAGGAAAATATGTCTATTATGTATTTCCCACCTCCTAAATGTCCCTGCAGCTTCCTTGTGTATACCTACAGAATAAAAAGACTAGAGGGATAAATGTATACCAAATGTTAACAATACTATTGTTATATTTGGGTGGTAAAATAATGGCTGGTTTTTATTTTCTTCCTTGAACTTTTCTATATTTCCCAAATTTTTTATGATAAATACATGTAATTAGTGTCAACAGGAAATGTTTGTTTTTAAAATGCCTTATTGAATTGATGAGGGAAACCAGAAAAGAAGTGTTTTATGTGTCCCTGAACTTCTTGCACACTGGAGCTACTGTATATAATAACACTTTTGCGAGGGCACACCATGTACTCATAATATCTCTGGCAATGGAGGGGAGCAGTAACACAGGGGAAAACAGCTGTCTCTTCTCCTCTCCTCCGTATGGCCAGTAAGAAGAAGCAAAAGTAGAGGTTGGGGGCACCTGGGTGGTTCAGTCAGTTGAGCGTCCGACTTTGGCTCAGGTCAGGATCTCGTGGCTTGTGGGTTTGAGTCCCACATCGGGCTCTGTGCTTACAGCTCAGAGCCTGGGGCCTGCTTCAGATATTTTGTCTCCCTCTCTCTCTGTCCCTCCCCTGATCATGCTCTGTCTCTGTCTCTTCAAAATAAATAAACATTAAAAAAAATTTTTTTTAAAGGAAGCAAAAGAAGAGGCAAAGTTGATCTAGTGTTTTCTGCCCCTTCAGCATTCCATAAAGTTAAAGAACAGTGACCATTTAAACCATACCTTTAGAAATATGATGGTCTAAGGGACTCTTAGATATAGAGAACAAACTAAGGGTTGCTGGAGGGATTGTGGGTGGGTGGATAGCTAAATGGGCAATGGGCATTAAGGAGGACACTTATGATGAGCTCTGGGTGTTATATGTGAGGGATGAATCACTGGATTGTACTCCTGAAATCATTATTGCCCTATATGCTAACTAACTTAGATGCAAATTAAAAAAAAAAAAAGATATATGATGGTCAATAGTAGTATTGAATGTCTGTACATAAATAACCATTTGAGTAAACAGGGATTTTCTTGGGGAAAAGCACTGGATACAAGTAACTTGATATGATACAAGTTTGGGAGGTTCGGGAAGATCCACACAGGGCTGCCTGGTCTATTCTTTCTCCTGGTTAGGACTACAGTTAAATTATTTTTAAGTTTTTTCAGAAGGCTATCAAAAAATGCAGTCCATTTGGACCAGAATTACCTCTTTCTAGTTATAAATTATCTTCAATTAACAATTATAAGAAGATTTGGTATTTTTTTCTTTATCCCCCAAACCCGGATCTTTAAGTGAATTTGGAAATAGAATTGTGTATAAAGAAAAGAGTGGCCAGCCTTCCATGCTGATAGTAAATAAAAGGCCAATTCAAACTGTGATAGAAACATTACAAATATTATCAATGTTCAGACAAACACATTCTGTGTTAAAATGGACGTGGGAAAGCAGGTTCTCTCATAAGTTACTGTTTGGGAGAAAAACGATATACCACTTTAGCAGGAAACTTTGAATGTGCACATTCTGTAACCCAGGAAATCCACTTCTAAATATCTACTCTAAAGAAACACACACGTGCACAAGGAGGCATGTACAAGAAAATTCAGTAGGAATGGTTTCTAATGGAATAAAAAATGGCAACACTTATCCACAGGGAGGTGTCTGTGTGATCTGTGGTATATAATAAAATATAGTGCAGCCATTAAAAAGAACAACAGAGACAGATCTCTAAGAGATATTATTGGGCAAAAAAGAGCAAGTTGCACAAAGATCCATGGCGTATGACAGATCATGTAAATAATTTTTTAAAGTTTATTTCTATCTATTTTGAAAGAGAGAGAGCAAGTGAGGGAGGGGCAGAGAGAGAGAGAGAGAGAGGGAGAGAGAGAGAGAATCCTAAGCAGGCTCCATGCTGTCAGCACAGAGCTGGACACAGGGCTCGATTTCACAAACCTTGAGATCATGACCTGAGCAGAAATCATGAGTTGGGACACTTAACCTACTGAGTCACCCAGGCCCCCCAATGATAGAT